GAGCTAAATGCCCCCCTTTTTTTTTGAGACAGGGTTTTGCTATGTATGTAGCTGGCCTTGAACTCACTATGTAGCCCACCCTGACCTTGAACTCATGGCAATCCTCCTGCCTCGGCCTTCCAGGTACTGGCATTACAGGTGTGTGCCACCACGACCAGCCTCATAATAGAAATTTTAAAGTGCATTTATTCAAGGAAATTTGATTTTCTTCTAGCTTGTCAAACCTGTCTTATTCCTCTCATGCTTAGAAGAAGGTATTATAGAAAAGCAAAGATGCAGATAAGAAATTGTGTTTATTCATAGTTATCTGCTATATATCCTATTTTCTCTTTTTTAGCTCACTTTCCCTTCTTTCTCTCTCTCTCTCTCTCTCTCTCTCTCTCTCTCTCTCTCTCTCTCTCTCTCTCTGTCTCTGTCTCTCTCTCTCTTTCCTTATTCCATGTTTCTGGCTCTTCTCCATCCATTCATAAAACCAACACATCTTCCAACCAACCTGGCAACAAAGAAGGTTCACCTAAATTTTGACCCTAGCTTCATTATACTCTGAATATTTTCATACAGTTCATGTATGTTCTGACAGGCCATTACAAAATCTATATAGTCACTGAAATTCTTAGCTGTCTCATTTGGTTTAAAAATTCAATCATTCACAAAATGAAGTGCACTGTTTGAACTCTTTGACATGCTTAATGGTTGACTGAATACACATGCATAAATGTGTGTGTGAGTGTATGAGAGAAAGAGAGAGAGAGAGAGAGACACACACACACACACACAGACAGTGGGGAGTAGGTATGCAGTCCAGTAAGGATGAGTTGGGGTCCACAGGGCTTGAGTTGCTTGTGGGACGTCCAAGTGGAGATGTCCAATGGGTGGTCTGACATATGGATGTGGAGCTCTTGACTAGAGCTGTAATACAGCCCAAGAATTAGCAATGGACATTTAAAATGTAGCTAGTAAAAATGAATTTTAAAAATAAAAAAATTATAAAAAGTGGAGCAATATGTCTTGACTGGATCAAGATTAGGAATATTTTTCTAAGAGGAGATTTTGTGCACAGTACACATGGTGGATGACAAAATGAGATACAAAATTGGAAATAAGAACATCCTTCCCTCTTTGAACAATGCCCAGCTTTTTCATAATTGTTCAGAACTGTAGCTTTGGAAGGCAGTAGAGCTGTAGCTTTGGTGGGGACATTAACTTTTTGGGGTGGGCACTACGAATGGAGTTAAAGATAAGTCCATTGCAAGATGCAAAGAGCAAAACCACAGCAAGAAGCAAAGTTGGATGCTGAAACTCCTTGCTGACTATTCTGGGAGAGTCCACAGAATACAGGATGTAGTTTTGAGGGCTCTGAACACTTGAGGGCCATAGCAATAAGGGTAAAAACATTAGGTGGGTAGAAAGTTGTATATGGAAACAACTTGTCAAGAAAAAACAAAAACAAACAAACAAACAAAAAAACTTCAGTGTCTGGCAGGTAGCAAGAGACAGAAATCAAGAAACAGAATTGTCAGAAAAATCAAGAGGCCAGGTGGGGCTGGAGGCAGAAGAGAGAATTTCCAGAATGGTGACCAATGGTGTTAATATTTTAAAGAGACTGAAGAACCCAAGAAATGAAAAAGGAAGTGAAAATCATCACAGTATTCACCATGGCCTATGGTGGTGGATCATTTATGTCATTTTTCTGAATTTTTAAAATCGCTGTTTCTAAATTTAAGGTGTACATTGAAAGATCATACCTTCCTTTCCTTTCTAACTGTGCCTGTGCTCACTATTGCCAGCATTTTGAAAAGGTCTGTTTGCCCTCAAACAACTCAGCAGTGTTTCTTGGGGGTCCATTTGTGCCTCTCTGTGATTTCCAGTCCCTACTCCACTGAGAAGTCAGTGGGATTTTTTTCTTCTTTTTCTTTTTAGTCAGTCTCTGAGCTTCTCATAGGGTATTTCCAGTTGCTTCTCTCCTATTAAAACCCAACCACCTCACGCTCCACATGCATTTTAAACATTAAGTCAGCATCAAAGGAAAATGCAGTTGAAGGTTCATGTCCTGAGTCTGTCCCTAAAGAGAAGTTAGCAACATTGAATGACACAGATTTGATCATAAGTAACTGTCATTCCAGGAAGAGGAACTGTCATGGGGAACAGAAGAAGTAGAGGAGAGTTTAAGTCCAAGACAAATAATTTATTCTGCCAAGAGCCAGTGTGGTAAGCCTATTTGGGCTGATAAACTTACTTGGTGGCTGAAAAGGCCAAGTTGAGAATGCCATTTACATTGAACTAGAGTTTTTGCAGCTTTAACTCAAGGTACCAAGTAAACTGATCATCAGGGCATTGTAACAAGGAGAATTTTCATTTAAGGGCAAGTTGCCCAGGATTTTCTAAATCAAAGTAGGTGCTGACCTAAGTTTCTCATGGAGCTTTTAATCTCTGTTCTGCTTATATGAGAGTCCATGCTATTAATTGCATCTCTTTGCTGTTTCCTCCTGCTTCTGCTGCTTGTGTTCATGAGCCCAGGATGCATGTTTAAAGCACATGTGCTGCAGTCCCTTGGATTTACCAAACCTTATTCAACTCTTCTCCCCCCGCCTCCATTTTCACTTTAGCTTTTGTAAGGCGAAGAAGACCAGTCTTAATATCCCCCTGGCTTCTTTCTTTTCTTCTAGGGCTCTGAACTCCCTTTACTTAGATATGTTATCTTAGAAAAGTTTTCATTGTAAATCCTTACTCTGCTCATTTGTGAAGTTAATATTCTAGTCTTCCAGCCAGTTTTATAACCCAGGAATGTCCTTCTCAAGGACCTGGAAGCCAGCCCTTTGAAATGTAATGATTGAAGGAGATAGTGCCCTTATCTCCCAGTCTGGGTGGGAGAAGATTCTAAGTTTTTAATTGCATAATTAGCAAATGTGGATGGCCTAATCATATTGACTAACTTCTTGCTAATGTTGTACGTTAATGTTTTACTTGTTCACCCTAGAATTTAAAAATCCTCCTGTCTTTGTGTTTCAGTGGAATTGAGGTTAATCTTTCTTCTGCAATAATCCTGAATAGTCTTCTTTGCCTGTTTAACCATCTGATGTGATTTTTTTCTTTCATATATCTATAATACCAAAAAATCTCTTTTAGCTATTTAAAAAATATTTCTACATAGAATTTAACTGATCAAATTTACAATTCCTAGCCCCCTTTTTTTCCCCTATGTAGACATCGAAGATTCCTGGAAGAGGTTACTTTCTAAGTTTCCATGTCTTTCTGATAATACTGTTTTCTCTTCTTTCTTGGGTATCCTATGGATACAGCTGGGGTCACATGTCTTTTAACCATTAAACGCATTTTCAATGAGATTATCTTTCCTTTTTGTGTAACAGTCTACATGTAAAAATCACTTCTTCCCTTTCAATGTAGTCAATTATTTTGTCCAGCTGAATCCTACTTATTGAGGATGTATCACAGTGCTGATCTACACATGTTTAAACTAATGGATTATTAAGGTCAGACTTGTTTAGTTGTCTTTGGTTTATTTGTGAATCCCAGCACAGGGAAAAATGATGCCTATTTATTTATTTACTTACTTATCTATTCAATTATTACAAGAGTACCTATAAAACAAAACCTTGTGTCTGAGACCATGGCTGGAGGTAATTGGGCGCCTTGCTCTATTAGATTTGTTTCTACAAAAAGATCCCAAGCCCAGGTAATATTGAGCCAGAAGTACAGATTAGTGTAACAAACATACTGGAGGACGTTGGGAGGTCTCGGCTGAAATGCTCACGCTTATAATCATCTTAAAGTGGAAAAAGCAAGAAGCGTGATTGAGATTTCCAGCGTCAATTTTCATTTTCTTTCCTTTTTTGTTCTAACACTTTTTTGGTGCCACCAGATTATTGAGAAATGATAAAAGAAAATAGGAATCTTACTATCTGACACTTTGCTTTATCTGCTCTGACCTGCGTTTTTGCCAAAGGCTTCCAATCTTCAGTAGGAACCCAATTTTTTCTATAACCTTCTTGGGGAAAGAGGCTTACAAACTCTCTTCTGCTCATGCTCACCCCTTATGTAGGAAGGAGAGATTAAAAAAATTAAAAATAAGAGAATCATTATTTATTTATTATATTTAATTTGACATGCGTTTTTTTTCCCTTGTCTAGTTCTTCTATAGGAATAAGAAAAATAGTTCACTGGGGAGACACTGTCAGCCAATACTTACATAGCAACTATGCCTTTACATAAGCAAATAGCCTTCACTGGGCTCAATAAATATAAATCTTTGTTTGGTTTCCTTTGTATAACAGGTCACCTCCAAGCTCCTTTTATCTTTTGTTTTCCATTAAACTTAAAAAACAAATCATTTGTAGGGCAAATTCGCACTCTCTGCATGGCGTCCAATGACAGCTTATAGTTTAGTTGGGTATTCACACCTAACTCTTTTTTTTTTTGTCATGCATGTATGATATCACTTTTGCAGGGAAGACATTAAATGATTCAATTCACAAATTTTGCCTAGTGTCTACAATAGGCCAGCCACTGTGATGGTGCTGGAAGATGAACACAGACTTTTTCTTTTATTGAGTTTATTGGTACATTTTAGGTATACAGTACAATTACATTCATTATTGGGATCTTGTACCTTTACATGACAGGTCTTGGGTCTCATTTTTTCCCCTTGTCCCTGCCATCCTGTGAACACAGACTTTAAAGTTAGTGGATTGTATTAATGTCGACACTAAACAGTGTTTATCATTTGTGTGTATGTGTGTGACTACACAAGTTCATAAACTTTTTTGATATAAAACTTATAGTCCAGTAATAAATTAAGGTGATCATTGATGACTTTAAATCTTTCCTGATAGGATGCCAAAATGGCTAAATGTATGCTTTATATAAGGAATTTTGAATCTTAAGGGGAAGTGCAAACATTATAAGTATTAAGTGGTTATTTCTGTCTTTCCATGAATATTCAATGCAAACTGTAGGAAGTTCCTTAAAAGTTCCATACTTACTCATCTCTGCAAACAGCTGTCTTCTTTCTGCCATGGTATTTCCTCTTTTACCGCTATCTTCAATCATTCTATGAGACAAAATTGTGACAATGTGCATTATCCTCATGCTAATGAGGCAAACAGCCATTGTTTTATGTAAACACATTTGTTGCATTTGTATCACAAACATAAAGAAAAGCTATTTTAAAACTGTGTACTTAAAACGTACAGCTTTATTTTCATGAATCTAAATTGCCATACACACTTTTCATATGTTAGGCTGGTATCATTGTTGAAGGAGGTATAAAATTTTTATTTTCTAACATAAAAATTACTGTAATAGGCGACTTTATGCTATAACTAAGTACAACCATCTACCATCTGTTAGGTGATTCATTTTCTATATAGTGTCTCTTCAATTCTGGGAATAACTATAAAGACTACAGAGCAAATTTTATGGGTTCCATTTAGCAGACATGTGAAGGAGAGCGCTGTGGACTTGTGGCTGATGAACGCGGACCTCTGGGCTCTAGGACCATTGTGCCTTTTGCTCATTCTTCTGCCAGTTCTCGCTTGTGCACTCAGAGCCTCAATTTAGAAACAAGTGATTTTTCAATCTTCAACCTTCATGTCTAACTTGAGTGTTTTCTGACACTTTTGACAGTTTTCCTGCACATAATAATTTCACGCATGATGGTTGGGTTCACATCTCTCCTTTAACCGTACTGCTATCTGCTGTGGAACTACTGCAGAATACTATGAAAATGCCAAAAGTTAAAACAGAAATTAAAAAAATACAAAAAATTAAAATATAGCTGGAGGACAAATCAAATAATGCAAAAGTTAATGGAAATGTTGTTTAGTCATGTAAAAGGCTTTGGGCTACAAATATCAAGGGTTTTATGGGTTACTAGAGTTGATTTTTATTATATCTAATTAAAATTTTAAAAACTAAAGCTTTCTCCCTTGTGCATGCATATACATAAACACACATCTATATACCACCATGGCTTCTGTTTGATTCTTAGGCATGACTGGCAAAAAGCATTACTGGATGGATTTTTACTGCCTATTTTTAAGTGGACATTGCTCTTTTTCAAGTCTCAGTCTTTATCCATACTGTTTTTGTGACTGGACAATCTATACTTTGAAGTAACCCCTCAGGTCTTCCCCAACCCTATGTCTGTCTGGGTTTGGTGCCTTTCTTCTTCTGAACCTTCTTAGAGCACACAGTCTTCTTCTGCATAAATACAGAGTGTTCACTTCCTAGTTCGCTGTTCAGTGCTTTTTATACTCCAGAAACTACACCAAGCTCTGGCGTGTACCATGAGTATCAAGTCACAAGCCCTGTCCCCAAGGCTCTTACACTGTAGCAGAAGAGACTGGAGAACATGGAAGCAGAGAAGATAGGAAATTAATTACAGTTACAGAATTGGAAAGAAAGATGTGACTTTAAGAGAGGTTGATTCTCTGGGACAAATTTAACAGAATGACTAGTAGAAGTCTATTCAAAAGGTAATGGACTGTCTATAAAATGACTCATGTGAGGAAAACAACTGTAGTGAAAATGATGCTGGTCAAATTAAATAGCCTCACTTGTTGACTGAAGTGGCTGAAGGAGGCTATTTTCACGTTTCCAAGAAGGGAAAGAAAACCCTGAACAGCCTTGGTGTATAGAGCCAAGGGAAGAATGTATACACATTCACAATGGGTTCAATGATATGACCAGAGTCTGGTCTCAACAACAATTGGAAAGGAGTTATGAATGAGGCCTTGTTTTGGTAACAATTCACTGTTGAACATGATCAAATCCTTTCTTATACAATCTTAAACATGTGGGTATTGTTGACATATAAAAGATATGAAGAGAACAACTTCCCCTTCCTGATTCATATCACTCCATCTCCTCCATTTCAGGGGAAGCAGGCAGATAATCACCTGACATGCACAAAAGAGTCCAGATAAAGCCTCCAGTTTTTCTTTCAAGGGCTCAGAAGTAGAGTGAAGGCAGTAAAAGAGATAGGAAATAGAGGCAGTGATATGTCCTTGGGTCTATTAGACATTCCCAAATAAAAGACTCAGTAAAATAGAGCAATGGAAGTGAATAGATACTTCTCAAAAGAAGAAGTACACATGGCCAATAAATAAATGAAAAACAATTGAGCATCTTTGATCATTGGAGAAGTGCAAATCAAAACAATGTTGAAATTCATCTTTCCCCAGAAAGAATTGCTATCGTCAATAATTCAAGAACCCATAACTGCTGGTAAGGTTGTGGGGAAAAAAGAATTCTTCTATATTATTGCTGGGAAAATAGACTAGTGCAATCACCATGAAAATCAGAATGGAGAATCCTCAAAAAAATAAAAATTAAAATTTCATTTCACCAATTACATCTCTTCTGTATATCTTCTGAGTTAAAGACATCATATTATAGGGATACGTATCTACCCATGTTTATAGCAACACACCTCATAGTAGCTAAATCTTAGAACTAGCCTATGTGTCCATCAATAGATGAATAGATAAAGAAAATGTGGTAGAATACATTTTATTTATTATACACAGTGGGGTATTTCTCAGCCAAAAAGAAGGATAAACGAGTCATTTGTAAGAAAATGGACATATTTTGAGACTATAATGTTAAGTGGAATAAATCAGAACTACGAGGTTAAACCATGTATGGGGCCACTTCCATGAGAAGCACCCAATATAAATAATTCAAAGGGCAAAATAAAAGGGAAATGACAGGAAATAGCAATGTAGACTTTGTGGAGGTGGGAAAGGGGTGTAGGGATGGGGAGAGAGTAGAACCAAGAGGCAAAGGGGCTATGAAATTAAGATGTGGTATGTATATGTACCCATTCCTCAAGATGAATGCAATTATTATATATCATGAATATATGAAAATATCAATAAAATAAAATTGAGATATCCTCCAAAGAAAACAACAATTAAAAATAAATCATGAAGGATGGCAGGTTGCAGATCTGATGGGGACTATCAGGAGGTAAAGACTAGTTCTGAGCTCAGAGCACTCTGCCTCGACCTGTCTCTCACACTGCTTCGACATCTTGTTGCCCAGGTCATTTTGTGTGTTTCTGTAAAAAGTTGAGGTCAGTGACTACATGAATTTTAAATGCTGTGCAGTGCCTAGAATAATCCAGTCAAACACCGAGATGGGCAGTGAGTATTCACGGAATAAAGAAATTGGGAGAAGGTGAAGGGAGAGAGAGGGGAGGGAGAGGGCGATGAGAGAAAAACCAAAGTTAAATTTTCTTTTCATGAAATGGACTTCCTATTATATTTCCAGAATTCACCCATACAAAAGTGAAATTTATATTGATTCATACTGCACTTAGCTTCAGGGAATCATTATTTGAAGTGAGAGAAATGAATTTATATTTATTATGATGTGGGACTATACATTTTAAAGCAAAATCATGTCTTATGAAATAGAAGTTGAAAAAGATGCCAGTTACATGGATGTCAACTTTTGGTCTATTCATTACCATTTTTTTGGTTAATTAACTCATAAAGGAACCATCATTAGTTACACAATAGGTATGAGTTTTTACTTCTAAGTAAAATGTGTACCTTAAGAGGAAAAAAAGGAAGAACTCAGTGGTGTGAAATAATAGAAGGCACAGAATATAATTATAAATATAAGAGGAAGAATAATACACTGTTCATTTAATCCCCAGATATTCTTGGGAAGTGGCACTGTTAGATAAAATTGACAATACTTATTTGTTATTTATAATCATAGTCATCATAATAAAAGAGAAAGGGGAACCCTAACTTATTGTTTAAACTAATCAGATAGGAGAACTCTTAAAGTGAGCTCGAGAATCAAATAGGCCACATCACTGCGGGCTCCTATTTTCAATCTAACTGCGTTCTCTTTGCCTTAGAAAGAAAGAAGAGCACAACCTTCAGTAGAGGAAGAGGTGAAGACAGGAACCTTGCCCCAGAAGAGGAAACAAACTTTCCTAATAAATATTTGTAGCTTGATGTAATATGTACCACGATGAAATCATGTACTGCTTGATGGAGTAGATTATTTCTGGGAGATCTGACAGAGACATTAAAGAAAGGGTGATTGATAAAAAGAATGAATAGGGATTTTTTTTCAGGTGGTGCAGAGTAGAGGAAGGGCAAGTATGGCTAGATGGAATCATGAAAAAAATCATGGAGCTTTGAAAAGGGACACAGGGGCCATTCAGCAATGCTGCAAACTGTGCGTGAAGATGCTGCAGCGGTGAAGAGGGATCACATCTAGAAAGACTCACTTGTCATGAGCAGATAATACAAGGCTTTCCCACAGAAACCAGACTGGGTACCTACATCTGAGATCTAAGCAAGAAGCAGATGCATAAAGATTTAGAGTTTGGAAAGCTTACTCCAGCATACTGAGTAGGAGGTGGACTGTGTAGGTAGCAAGGCAGGGATAAGATCACATAACTAACTTCTGTGATTCATGGATGAGACTACTATATTTTGTGCTAAATGATTGATTTGAGAGGGACTTCACAGACACATTCAATAGGACTTGACAGTTGCATGGATCATGAGGAGAATGGCAGAGGAGAAATCTCAGCTCTCACTCATCCGCATTAGGAATTTTATGTCCCAAGGCAGTCGTGAGTTTGTAAGAGATGAGCTCACAGTGACTTCTTCCAGCAGAGTCACCCCATGAGGGCGGCTCAACTTGCCAAGGATTCCAGCTCTATCCCTATGTATTGGGAAGGATGAAATAGAGTAAAACAGTTTTGGAACCAGTAAGCAATAAAGAATAAATCCAAATATAGGGTATGGAGCATCAGAGAAACTGTGAATTTTATTTTGGCCTAGTTGAGAATAAGTTCATGCTAAAATTATCATCTTCAAATTATTTCCTGTGTGACACACCTTTAATTGAACCCCATACATAACTTTATTACACATGGTACATAAGAAGTTTTAGAGGTAGAAGCTTAAGCTAATGGTGTCTTACATTTCCATAACTTTCTGAAAATTAAAAAAAAATGCTTTTCCTTGTAACCTTGAGAGGGAAACAGGGAGACTTTATTATTCCTGAGTTATAGCT